ATATATGTGTGTGTGTGTATGTATATATATAATAATAATATATAATTTGTACAGATGTATACACACACACACACATATATACATATATATATATATTATCTATACTATATTATAAAGTATTTGACAAAAATTCTTAAAAACCATTCTTTATGCATGGAGTACTGTGTATTAATGCATATTACTTCAAATCTAAGATTACAAGTACTTGTACGTAAGTACAACTTATTAAAGTTTTATTTTTGAATTCTTATAACTAACTGCAGATAAACATAATCAAATATAGGATAAACATCTCATTTTAAATATAAAAAATCTAAAATATAATTAGGATAATCATTGAATTTTAACTGTAATAACCGGAAAAAAAAAGGAATTGTTAGTTGTTAAATTTCAAGGACTTGTAGTGTAAATCTATCAAAGTGAAGAGTTTAGACCCTAAAAATTGAATGTGATTTAATGACAAGAAACCCAAATGTCATGAAACCTACGACCATTTATTATGGCTTATCGTTTCATATTCCGTGAAACCGCCGATGGGACTTAGTATAAAATGGGAGTTTGTAGCTTTATGTGTAGTTTGGGGTTAAGAAGGAGAATTATTGTGAGAAAAAAGCGACGGTGGACGCTATAATGAGAGTTGACGATGCTCTACATCGTAGTTAGTTTAACACAAATCGGGGAGACGCTAGCCACTTCAAAAATCGGTTTGGGCTACGCCATGTATGGTGAATTACACGTGATTTATTTTTAAAATAGTTGCATGCCTTATTTATAATTATCCACAAGTTTGATTGAAGTTTCTCGAGATTTTTGATATGCTATATATGCGTGAAAAGTTCGATATTTTTATAATATGTGTTTTGAGTACTTGTGTGTCAATGGGGATGTACTACAGTTTGATTTTGTAAAGACACGCATGCTTTGTGAGCTTGTCTAAGCCGTAAGTGCGGACATGCTGTGTGAGTTCGCCAGGTAATGTTGTGTGAGGTAGACATCTCCCATGACGTCGTTGCTTTGTGATATAGACACGCACTATAATATCGTTATTTTGTGAAAAGTGTTATTCTCATCAAGGCATGCTAATTTATGAAGCTTCGTGAAAATTGTTTATCATGAAAGTTGTTGTTCATGCATGAAAACTGTGGTTTCACTGGGCCTAAGGCTCACCCAAAACTCTTTTAAAACTTTTTACCCAGACGACTTTTGAGTGGAAAGAAAAGTGCAATAAAAAGAGATAATGATTAACTTCAAAGAAGGATATGTGCAGATCAATGCATTGTTATAGAGCAAAGTTATGTTCCTCAAGATTGTAATTTAGATGGTGATATAATTTGTAAGATTAGAAATTTTTATTCCGCTGCAATGTAAGTGTTTGATCTTGGGATACTAGTTTTGATATATTTAAGTATTTGAAATTTTGGGATGTTACATTAACAAAATACTTAATCATTATCCTTATAAAAAATTATATTACTAAATTAAAAATAAATTACTTCGTTACTAAATTTAAATTAAGTTATATAAAAGAATTAAATTAAAGAAACTATAAAAAAACATTTAAATAGTTAATTTGATACTAATATTGATATGTTTATTTCTAAATTTTATGATATCTTCAAATTTATATATTATTCAAAAACAAAAACATTATCTATTTCTCAAAACCACATAAAAACCGTATTAAATCATGGGGAGTTATAGGAGAGTGCTAATGGCACCCCCTTAATAGGAGTTGTTGAATATTTGGGAATTGTGTCGTCATTAGAATCTATAAAACATCAAATCTATTTAATAATACTATAAGGGTACTTGCGCAATGCAACGATATACATCTTGATTTTAATATTTTATTATCTCAATCGATGTTATAATATGGTCTTATGTGATATTGAAAAAACGATGATGTTTTTATTTTTAAATAAAATATAAATTTGACAAAATTATATCGATATTAGTAAGAAATTAACTATTTAAAATTCCTCAATTTTTGTGTAATTTTTAATTCAAAATTTTTAATTATAATATAATTTAAGTTCAATAACGAAGTAATTTATATTTCGTTTAGT